TGCACGTAATTTTCTGATCTCTTAATTAGAAAAGAGACCTACTAATATTTAAAAGAAAAAAAAACTTGTATACATCTACAGAACTTCTGAGAAAGGTGAAATTTATGTTTTCTCACTGAAGATTTTTTAACTTTAAATATGAATCTTAGACATGGGTAATACTAACATCAGGTGGTGGTCAATAGGGACAGAGACAAGGAGTATGAAAATAATCTGACTTTTTAAAAAAGAGAAGAAAAGCATGGCTGTATTGGTTCTGTCAGTGACCAAGCTCATCAGGGTCAGCCTTAGCAGAGCAACAACGATTTGAGAATAAGAATTTTTGTTCAAATCAGGTTTTTCTATAGAAAAGAGGCATATTTTTACCACAATAGCACATCTAAAGATGCCTGATCATGATAAACTATATTCTGCTCTCAAAAATTAAGATTCTTCTTACTATTTACTCAAATGATCTACTTTTGCAACAGTCCTTTCCTACCAACATAAAATGAGAATCTTAAAACAAAGACATTAATTAAGTCTTACTTCTAAACCAGTCATACTGTCTTTTTAAATTCTAGTGACTTAATGAGAAAAAAAGTTCTTTCTCTTTGGCATTTTAAACATGAATAGCATTCCTCAGCTCATACTGTCTTTTAACCACTGAAATACAAGAATCAGACAACAAAACACTAAGTACAGCTCAAGCTTATATAATCTAAGAGAATAAACACTGCCAGTGCTCTTCGCATGGAATGGTTTTCTGAGCTGTGTAACAAAAATACTGTTACAGAAATATACATCAAACACAAGTGATTATATCGAGTTGTTCTTGCTGAATAGGAATGTTTCTAAATAGGGCATAAGGGTTTGGAAGGGCCGCCAAATATACCATGAAAGAAAAAGTGCAAAATGCACCAGAACCAGATGCATGCTCAGAAAAGATCTGAGAGGGCCCTAGGCTTGCACCTCTGGCAGATTTGTGGGGTTTCTAACAGGCAGGAAGGTAAAGGCAGAGTTGTAGGCAACCTAGCTCAATGTTGAAGAAGTGCCCTGGCTCAGAAACAAGCTGCAAAGATCAGGAGAGTGTCTTTTTTTCCTGCTTTTGGGCTCTCGACAGATAAGGCTGACCATTGAGATAATTGAACAGAAACCTCAGTGACCACACACAACAAGGAATATAGTCTTTGCAAAATATAATTTGGAAAAGTCACTAAACAAAATATAATTTGGAAAAGTCACTAAACCACTGTAGCCCTCAACAATCAAAAACAACAAACTCTGAGGAAGGGGAGAATTTGATGTTCAGTTATGACATCATTATATTTTTAAGAACCAGTTTTCAACAAAAAAAAATTAAAAAAAAAAAAAAAGAAACAAGAACATGTGGCCAATTCACAGGAAAAAATAAATTGATGGAAACTATCCCTGAGAAAGGTCATACGTTGGACTTACTAGAAAGACTTTAAAACAACTGTCTTAAATACATTCAATGAGCTAAAAGAACCTGTGGAAGAAGAACTAAAGAAAATCAGAAAAGCAAGTAATGAACAAAAAGAATATCAATAAAGAGAAAAATTATAAAAGGGAAACATATGCTGATGCTGATAAGTATAATAATTGAAATGAAAAGTTCACTTGAGGAGTTCGACAACAAATCTGAACAAGGGGAGGGGGGAATGAGCGAACTTGTAGATAAGACAACTGAAACTAACCAGTCTGAACAGTAGAGAGGAAAAAAGAATGAAGAAAATGAATATAGGCTAAGGTGCCTGTGGGACATCATGGACATATCCATATAAGCATTATGGGAATTCCATTAAAAAAAAAAAAACAGGACATGGTGCCGTAGTGTAGCAGTTAGCACATCTGCATAAGCCAGATGTCTGATCTCGGAAGCTAAGCAGGGTCGGGCCTGGTTAGTACTTGGATGGGAGACCACCTAGGAAGACCAGGTGATGTAGGTATAAATAATAATAATAAATAAAAATAAAATAAACATAAATAAAACAGAAATGGGAAGAAGATTTGAAGAGATAAAAGATGAAAACTTCCCAAATTTAATGAAAGACATAAATATATACTTCACGGGGATTTAATAAACTCCAAAAAGGATAAATCAAAGACATCTATACTGAGGATTATAATCAAACTATTAAAAGACAAAGACAAAATCTTGAAAACAGCAAAGATGAAGCAACTCATCATGTACAAGGGATCCTCAATAAGATTAGCAGCGCATTTCTCATCAGAAACCATGAAGGCTAGAACCAGCAGAGTGATATATTCAAAGTGCTGAAAGAAAAAACTATCAAAGAATGTTCTATATCCAGCAAAACTATCTTTGAAAAACAAAGGAAAAATTAAAGACATTTGCCTTTTAACAAAAGCTAAGAGAATTCATCACTAGTAGAAATTCCCTACAAGAAATTCTAAAAGAGAGTCCTCTAAGCTGATATGAGTACACGGTAAAAAGTAACTCAAAGCCATATGAAGAAATAAAGAATTCCAGCGAAGGTAACTATGTAGGTAAATACAAATGCCAGTATTACTGTATGTTGAGTTTATAACTCCTCTATTCTTCCTATCTGCTTTGAAAGACAAATAAACATATGATACTTAGAAATCTATGTTAATAAGCACACAATATATAAAGATATTATTTGTGAAAACAACATGAAGGTGGTAAAAAAGTAAGCAAAGTTTTTGTATGCTATTGAAGTGAAGCTGGTTATCAATTCAAACTGCAGTTATAAATTGAGGATGTTAACTGTAACTCCCATCATAACCACTAAGAAAATAAATAAAAAATATACAGAAAAAAGAAATGAGGAGGTAATCAAAGTATACATTAAACAACACAAAAAGGAGGAAATTGGAGGAACTGAGGAACATAAAAAATACAACATATATAAAAAAACAAAGAGCAAATGGCAGAAGAAAGCCCTTCACTATCAGTAATCATTTTAAATATAAATGGATATATAATTGTGTAACATCTATACAATGGAATACTACCTGACAATAAAAGGCAATTAAGTATTGATACATGCTACAGTATAAATGAACCTTAAAAACATTGTTAGTTGAAAGAAGCCAGAAACAAAACATAGCATAAAATTCCATTAATATGAAATGTCCAGAATAGAGAAATAGATACAGACAAAGCAAGCAGATTAGGAGCTGCCAGACTCTGGGGCGGTGGCAGAGAATAAAGTGACTACTAAAAGGTAAGGGTTTTCTTTTGGGAGTGATGAGAAAGTTCTACAGTTAGACTGCTGTGGTGATGGTTGCACAACTATGTATAGGAAACCACTAAATGGTACATTTAAATGTGCGAACTGTTTAGAAGATTATTTCGACAAAGCTTTTTAAAAAGATCTTTTTATATGTGGTAGATGGACCATCACTTTTGGCATGGACTAAGCGCTAGTTAAAAATTCAGAATCCCAGGCCCATCCCAGACCAGCCAAAGCAGAACCCAGATGATTCCTATGCACATTAAAAGTTAGCATGCATTGCCCGAGGGCAACTTTAAGTCACAATGAGAAAACAGGCCTGAAAATAGTAAGGGGCTTGCCTACACTCACATGGTCAATTCATTTCATAAACATACACATTTTATACTTTGAATCCCAGTTGTTTGCAAGTTGGTTTCTCCCAGCAGAAAGGGCACACGGTTTGTGTCTTTTTTTCTCTTTCTACTCCTGAAGCCTGGTACAGTGTTCTATACACCATACTCAAATATTTACTGAATGGCTAAAATAACTTCATAACAGATTGATTTAGCTTCATTGCCAAAATAAGTAAATTTAAAATATCACTACATGCTTATATTTTAGCAATGTTTGAAAAGGTTCTTTCTGAAAAGCATAGCGAACCAAATCAGAATCTGAGTTTTGCCCAAATATGAAGTTTTTCACTGAGTAAATCAAAGTGTATTTTTGTAATTCAGGAAGTCACAAGGCTCTAACATAGCTCCACTAATGGAGTTAGTTACGAAGTACTAAGGAAGCTGCTTGCTAGTAGTTCTTAACAAAACGGTGAGCAAGAATATGAGCCTTACTGAAAAAGACATAATGGCTAAGTGAGGTTTTAGACAAGGAGATTATTTCTGACTCCTTAGTTGGTAGGTCGCCAGAGTAGATCTGTGCTTGTTCAACTCATTATTTTTGGCTTTAACTTGCCCTGAAAACTAAGGAATAGGAAGGAACAACCCTAAAGACACCGAAAACTACTCACTGAACCAAACTACTACCCTATAACAACAAAGTAGATGGATTTGTGAGATAAAAACGCTCACTAGGCAACGCCAACTGGCTTGTCCTAAGTTTGGGCTTCTGAAGATGGCCCCAGTAGAACCTAATTCTGAGTAGAGGTAACCTTTCTATCCAGATTTAAATGGTCTGATAATCTAGTGTCATAAAAATGGTTCTTAGCCACATAAGTGGTTGTTTTGTAAAAGTTAGATACATGTAGAAAGTCATATAAAAAACTGGATTTTTTTTTAAAAAAGGCTACTGTACCCAGTGTCTAGATCTTAAAGACAGTTTCAAAGAATGATATGGGCTAATCCAAAGCACAAGAGCTACAAAACGAAGTGTCAATGGAATTAATCATTCAGAACTCCAAGTGAAAGAAAATCCTACCTACATTTCAGGCAATGTTTTGGGGGGGCTTAGTTTGAAAGATATAGCTGAAAGAGGTAAAATAGTTTTAACAAAGAAACGCACTTTGTCTCTGACTCTTACATTGTTTTCTCTTATAAAGAATTCTTTGAATATTGATATAAACTTTACCTGGAACAATACAGAAAATATTCCAAAAAGGCAAAAAACGTAGTTGTGCGAGTACACACAGTCAATAATATTGTTTCATCTAAAGTCACTGTTTGACCAATCCATTCTTTACTACTAATTAATTGACCAGTGAGTGGTGCCTCTTCTCAAATACTATTAAAAATTAAAATTAAAACTCTTAGGGAAAAAACTAGAAAACATGCTCATGGCTCAATTTCTCTAAGTTTTACTCAATCCCAGCTCCACCAGCGACTCTAAAGCTAAGTTGGTAAGGTTACTGCTACCAACACATATTGGGTCATTCCTTGGCTATGAAAAATTGACTGAGCAAGAAAACAAAAGACAGAATTCCTCAAGTTATCAATATTAATCTTCTTTAAACTGTGTTTACAAATGACAGTCTCAGTCTGCTATGAACCAAATTGCATCTCCCTAAAATTCATGTTAAAGCCCTAATCTTCAGTGTGATGGTAATTGGAAATGCAGCCTTAAGAGGTAATTAGGGTTAGATGAGGTCATGTGGGTGAGGCACTCATAATGGGATTAGTGGCTTTGGAATAAGAATAATAGAAAGAGATAGATTTGCTATGTGAAGACACAGCAAGAAGGCTATAAGCCAAAAAGAGCCCTCGCCAGAAACTCAATTCTGCCAGACCCTAACTGTGGACTTCCCAGTCCCAGAACTGTAAGAAATATACATCTATAGTTAAACTATCCAGTCTTTAGTATTTTATTACAAAAGCCTGAGCTGACTTAAGACAGAACTTATGAACAGATAATATGAGATAAAAGTTGTACAGCAGTCAAGTCACTGAACACCCTGACAAGATGCTACTGAAGCCCCAGGCAAGGTTTATAGTCAAAATTTGAATCACTGAAATTTATGACAGGGACTCTAGAGTTGCTGCATAATAGTGTTAAAGTGGCAAGCGTGGCCTTGGCCAAGTTCATAAGAAGAAAGAACTATACTGCAGAAGTCCGGGGGCTTGCTTTTTCTAAAATAAAATCCACATACTTTGTGAGAAATTAGTAATATCCCAAGGCGGACTTTTGTTTCCTTTAAATCCTAATGAAAAAATTTATTTCCCGCAGAACATCAAATGACCAGCTAGTGTTACAAAATAATCCAAAGCTCACCACAGCCAAATTCAGCAAACAACATTCCAATGAGCCAGTTTAATTCCAAAACCTAGTAGTCTCTGGGTCCATAAGAAAAATCAACTTTATCAGCTTACTAACGTCTTAAGTTGGTACATTTAAATCTAGAAGCAGCATGAGATTTCCTCAAATCTTTTAGGAAAGTTATTTAAATCTACTGTGAAAGTAGTTGCAAAAGCTGGTTTGTGATACCAGGTATTAGGTTAAATGAATAGGGCTGAAAAGAGATAAAGGAAAACAAAGATGTTCAACTATATATGTAAAAGTAGAAAAATCAACCTAACTATAGCATTGACAAGTAAAATATGTGCTGATGTGGTATATGAAAAACTTAACAAGTAGGGGGAAAACAATAATAACTAATAAAATTACTCCACAAAACATACACTTCTAACATTTTTAGCATCAAGCTTTAAAAGGTCAAAAATTCCTTCTTATTGAACTCATCATAAGTCTTTAATATACATTTGCTGAGTGGACAAAATATGTAATAATCCATACTCTAAAAAGTTTTTTCCCATTTACACATGAACTTTGAGATAATTAGTTTGCAGATCAGTTAACTCTTATTTAAATAAAAAGCCTAAAACATTTTACCAACCCAAATGGTGTTTTGAAGTTTCTATGTCACTATACTGTTCAAATTAGTTCAAACAATGGGAAATACCATCTTCTGATGATCTCACTAAGGAGGTCTGTTTCTGAATTGGAAGAGAAGTACTCCAGAAAAAACAATGACATAAACTCCATGATTTTAAATTAGAGTTCTTTGCGGGAGGGAAAGATGATTTACATCAAATGACAGGCCTATCAAATCTCTAAGGATGAACAATCCAAATTCTTGTCATAAACTAAATATTAAGAATAGGAGGGAGAAAAAATGAGTAAAAAGATAAAACATAAATAGACCAACCAAGAGGGGAAAGAAGAAGAGAAAATCAATAAAATTCCTAATACTTGTATTATCAATTATTTCCATTCATCAATTAAAGCAATCTGATATCTAAGGATAAATTTCAAGTATTTGGAAAAAAGGCCTTTATTTCAAGAATAAATGAAGTGTTTTTATTATAGTTCAAAAAGTTCTTAGGGCTTTCCATAACCTTTATATGAGAACACTAATATTTTGGGACATAGTAAGTAGCCAAAGACTGACAGCTCTATAGGTGTTAACAGCCTGTTAATTCCATTAGTAGATGATATTGGCATGCTAATGGACTATGAGGTATTCTTAAACTAGGTGCCTAATTCCATATTCCATTCCTTTAATCTATTCCATATATTATGGCCAGATTAAGGGTAATATCATTTGCCAGCTACCTATGACCTTCAAAGTTAATTCCTAACCAATAAACCCTAAAGTGGGATTTCATATCCAAGGCCCTCATGAATTTGATTCCATCATACATTTTCTATCCTTAATATACCCTAGCCCTGTATTATATACTATAACACTTCACAGTGATCTAAATACTGTTACTTCATTGTCTTCATCTCTGTCCGGTACTACCCTTCAATTATCACCAGCAAAGCCATGTTGTCTGAGGTATTCTCTGATTTCACTCATCAGAAGAAACTGCTCCCTTCTCTAAATTTTCATCCTATATTCTTAGTACTTTTTTTACTTAACAAGTTCTATCTTATTTTATGTTGAGTGATTTGTATACATAAATAGTATAGGCTCACTGAATGCATGAATTCTATCACATCATCTTTGTGTCTCCCATAATGCCTAACATACATTTCCACAAAGATCTGCTGCGTCACTAAATAAACACCTCAAAAAACTCTTCAGGAAAAACAGATATATTTTAAGAAAAAAATATTTATATGCGTGGCTTTTTAAACTAGAAAACCAAATGTTCAAATCAACTGTGTTAATCCTTAAAACTGCTAATGTCTATCTTTTAATCTATACTCAACTATATTTACTTCTCACAAATAGATCACCAAATGCTAGAGTCTAATATTTGTGTCATCCTCTGCCCTGAATTCATGTTGAAATCCTAACCCTAAAGATGATGGCATTACAAAGTGGAACCTTTCAGAGGTACTTAAGTCATAAGGGTGGAGCCCTCATGAATGAGATTAGTGTTCATATTAGTGTTCAATAAGACTCCACAGAGTTCCCTAGCCCCTTCCCCCACGTGAGGGCACAGAAGTAAGGCACCAGCTAAGAACTAGAAAGAGGGCCGTCTTAATCCTGGACTTCCCAGCCTTCAGAACTGACAGGACTAAATATCTGTTGTTTGTAAGCAACCTGGTCTGTGGGATTTTGTTATAGCAGCACAAACAGACAAAGACACCAAATTTA